CTGAAAATTTTCTTTTTATTATTTTCTTTATATATATTGTAATTAAACATATTTACTAATCCCAAATAAAGCTTTCCATTCCTGGTTTTAGGGGACTAATTGCGCTGACCACTACATTATTGTTAACGTCCATCATAATTATTCTCGATTTATCTAACAATTACCCATCCAGAATTGTCTTATCATAAACTCTTAAACTATATATTGCATACCTGTGTACCTTATAGCACCTGTGTTATTGTTTGTATTAACGTTCTTCCTGTTTACTATCAGAGCTAATTTGATCCATAGTTTTCTGCTCTTTCAAACCTGATAGTAACACCGTGATAAACAAATTGCATCTCAAATACTAAAATATAGAGAAAGTCTAAATACCTAACTATTTATATTAGTAACATAAGATCCTTTTAGGTGATATATGATTTACTAAAGTCCTATATATATTGATATGCCTTTATATTTGATCAATAAAGTATAGATGACTAATTGAGATTTATAAATCAGTTCTAAAAAAATAATGATATTTTTAACTGATTGACCTTTATAATAATATATCAGTATTGATACATGATAACTGACCTTATAATGATATATCTAATAATAAATGATAATTTCTTTAATCAATGATTTAGACAGATAAACATATAAAAGTAGGCATAAAAAATATATAATTTTTGTATAATAAAAATGTATTTAAGCACCATGTTAAATATTGTTTTGCTTTCTTTACACACATAAAATACCTTCTATTAAGATGACAAAACCAAAAACCAACCATATTAACAAAGATCGTTTAAAAAATGCTACAATTAAACCCAAGACCAGAAATCTTGTTAGATGTAACTGTACATGGCATTGTGAAGGTAGTCGTTGGGTTGATCCAAGAACACGAGCTAAGCATCAGAAGGAGTTAAATGATTTTCTGTATAATGCTTCAAAATCTAAAAAAGTTGTTTAAGATAAAAATGAATCTACCAGAAGCTTACCAAAAGAACCAAAGTATAGAAGTGAATTAGTTGAACTAAATTTATCTGGTGGCAATTTTTCTAATAGATTTTTTGAAGATGATACAGTAGCTGATCTGAATGAAACAGAATTAGAGGAATTGAATCTAGATGATGAGGTTTTAACAGATAATAGCCAAGAATCAAGCGATTCTGATTATGATAATGATTTTGAAGGTACTTGAATCAATCCTTTTATTTTATTTATTATATTTGAATTGTCTTTTTTATTTTATCCAATTTACTTAAATTGACTTTATCTTTTATTCATTATATTTGAATTGATCCACTAACACTACTTTTGCATTTTTTTATTTTTTTTAAGATTATGAACATCCTGATCCAAATATTGAATTAAATTTTCTTTGGATACTGTTATGGATATTCAAGTTTCAAGCAAGATTTCGCCTTCCAGTTGTTGCAATTAGATTTCTTATTAAGTTTTTTCAGATGGTCTTATTAGATGCTGATCAGTTAAGATTTAAAAATTTTCTTACTAGCTTAGATATGGTGAGAAAATTGTTGGGAATTAACATGTATACAAAAGAATATGATGTATGTCCGAGTTGTGATACTTTATATGAGGTTTCAGAAGTTATAAATAAGCAAGATAAAGGTTTTGAATGCACACATGTAGAGTTTCCTAGTCATCCAATACATAGCCAAAGAAAGCCATGTGGTGTTGAATTGACTAAACAGGTTCCAGTTGTAGGTGGTTATATTAGAAGGCCAAAGAAGATTTTTTTTTTATTATCTTTAAAATCATAGTTAACCATTATGTATCAACGTCCAGGATTTGAATCTCTTCTAAAAAAATAGACCAACCGAAATATTAATACTGGGCTAATATTTGATATTTATGATGGTGAAATTTGGAAAAATTTTCCATCACAACTTAATATACCAAATTCTCAGTTCTTTACACCAGAAACAGCAGATTCACATTTGGGGCTCATAATTAATCTTGACTGGTTCCAGCCATTTGAAACAACAGCATATAGTAGCAGTGTGATATATGGTGCAATATGCAACCTTCCTCGAGAAGAGAGATTTAAACAGGAAAATATGTTATATCTTGGACTTTTACCAGGATCTACAGAAGTCAAGTTATATAAAATAAACAATTATCTTATATTAATAGTAGATGAATTGCTAGAATTCTGGAAAGGAGTTAAACTATCTACTGGAAAAAAAATAAGATTAGCAGTTATTTGCTGCTCTTGTGATATTCCAGCTGCTAGAAAGCTTTGTAGTCATATATCAGCATTAGTTAGTTGCTATCAGTGCTACAAAAGGTATTATATAATTTATAAAATTTGATATAATTTATATTATATAAGTGATACCAAAAAAAAATCAAACCTTATGCTTTTAAAGTTATAACTTAATAGATTAATATCTAAAAAATCTAAATAATTAATTCTGATAAATTATAAATTTAAAAACTTAAAGTTTGATTTTCTCAGTATCATTTATTCTTTAATACAGTTTATATAATTTACATATAATTTGTTAACTCAATAAAAAGGCTAATGTTGATGGAAAAAAATCAAACTTTGGTGGTTTTGATGATATATCAGATTAGTTTCAAGAACGTGATCCTGAAGAACATCGACAAAATGCTAAAAAATAGCGTCATTGTAAATCTAATGATGAAAGGAAACAACATGTTTCTGCTACTTGTGTTAGGTGGTCAGAGATATTACGTTTACCTTATTTTAACCCAATAAGGCATCTAGTTGTTGATCCTATGCATTGTCTATTTCTCAGAATAACACAGTAGATAGTAAAAAAATTATGGATTAGAAAAGGAAAAATTACAAAATATGATCTTATATCAATGGAGCATCGTGCTAAAGATATCAAAATACCTACTGATTTAGGCTGAATTCCAAGTAAGATTACTACTGGAGATGGGTTTTCAGGATTTACAACTGATTAGTGGAAAACATTTTTGTTAGTATATGTAACCCCATTAATGTAGAACAGACTAAATGATACTGATCAAGAGATTTTGAGTAATTTTGTAAAAGCGTGCTCTCTGCTTGTATGTCGAATTATAGATGATAAAATATTAACTGAAGCTCATACACGACTACTTATGGTGGCTTTATTAATAGAAAAACATTATGGTTCTGAAGTAATAACACCAAATATTCATTTATCGCTTCATATTACAGAATGCTGCCGTGATTATGGTCCATTGAATTCTTTTTAGTGCTTCTCATTTGAAAGAATGAATGGTGTATTAGGTAAATTATTATTATATAATATATTATATATTTATATTAAAATTTATAATTAAAAATTTTATTAGTTTAGTATACTTATTACTATACTTTTAAATAGAAATAGCAAAAATCATAATCAATTTTATTGTTATGATTTAAAATGATTTATAAATATTTAAAGCATTTGATTTTATTACATAATATATTATATTTAATTTAAATACTGATCTTTAAATATAATTTTTACTATTGCGATTAAAAAATAGATTTGAATATCATTAACAAAAATCTAAAAATTTAAATATATGTTATATTTAAATTTTTAGGATTTTTTGTGACACTTATTTATATCTTAAATATATTATGTAATAAAAGATTTAAATCAGCTTTAAATTGATTTAAATAAGAAATCTGTGATTTCTAACAGTATGCATGCTAATATTTACAGAGCTTTAATTTAAAATAATATATTTATTTCATTGTATTAAATTTTGTTATATATTCTTAACTAAAAATTTTTTTAAATATAATAAATTTTTTGTTATTTAAGGATCCCTTCCTAACAGCAAGAGAATGATTGAATTAGATCTTTTACACATCATTCTGCAAAATTAGAGATTAGATAGCCTGATCTTTGATCAATTAGATAATTCTAAACTGTCTAAAGCTCTTGAATTTATAAAACCACGACCAACAACTGGAAGCTTAGCAGCAAATGATGGGTTTGATTTTGCTGATTTATATCAATTTGTACAAACTTTCCATCAAAATATTGATAACACCATTACAGGTAGTGAACCTTTTCCTAGAAAAATGCTTAATCCAAAACAAACTTATATATCTCTACCAGATAACATCTATAAGCTACTTACAGAGTATTACAAAATGGCATATAATAAAAATTTTGCAACAATTGCTGAAGTAATGTCTGGCAAAAAAATTTTTGATGATAACATTATTGTCTCTCCTATTGTAGATCAATATGCACGAATTAGGATTGGTGGTGAATTTTTTGGAACAACAATGACTTCCAAATATGAAAAAAGTTCATTTATATTAGCAAAATTTATACAAGATGATGGAAGTACTGATATTTTTTCTGTAAATGTTCAATTCTTTTTTGAAAATACAATCACATTGTCAAATATAACAGTAATGCATAAACTTGCTTTTGTTAAATGGTATTTACCAGCTCTTGACAGGTTTTATTTTAAAGATGAAACTAATGAATGCAATGTTGAACTTTGGAAATATAATTTTTATAAACTTAGTAGAGATAATATTATTCCAATTCATAATATTTATAGCCAGTTTATACCTAGTAAATTTACAGTTAGCATACACAACTCACAATTATATATGGCTGTTATACCTGTAAATCGACAATTTAATTTATAATATATAGCTAAATACTTTAAATAGACAATTGTTAAAGTTACACATATTATATAATTTGTATAATGTAAGTTATAACAAAAATTTATAGTATATATAAATTATATGTTATATAATATATAAAAAGATTGAATGTTTTATCTGTACTGCATTGGTATTGTGCAAACTTATAGAAATAAAGGTTGTATAGCAGATTATTTTACAACATAAAGAATGTACTTCTAAATAAAAACAGTTCTAAACATCATATTTGGCTTGGCTGTTGTTAATTATTTATAATCTTGACAAGAGTATGATAAGATATATTATATACAACTTTAATTCACTGCTGTACAATTGCAAGCAAATTTAAAAAGATATGCATGTCAGTATTATATAAGAGTGTTTGGAGATTTTTGTCTTGAATAAGATCCAGAAATTACTAATTTTAATATAATATATCTCCAAATACAATACTTCATTCTTCATACAGTACACACCAAAATTTGATTTTAAATCAAATTTACTGTATAATTTAATATGTTCGAAAAACTTATTTATTAATTTCTTGTATTGATATTAGTAGAATTAAAATAAAAATCAAACTACTGTTAGCTCTTTCAAAATTGGTATACATAGTGAACAGGGTTCTGTATCAGTTTTTAGAGGTTGTCAGTAGGGATGTAGGTTATACCTATATCATATTATACAATTGGCATAATACCAGTATAATACCAGTATTATACATATGAGTATAGGTATAATACCAATAATAGCAATGGGTTGGCCAATTAAATTGATTTATCAGCGATTCCGAAAGTTTAATTCTAAAAAATTCCAAATCGTATTAAGCTGATATCATAATAGAGTTATATCATAATATACCATATTATACAGTATTATGCCTAGTATTATACTACCACTTTCTATTATACCAGTATAATTGCATCCCTAGTTGTCAGATTTGAAAAATCACATGATAGATGGGCAGAAATCAGCCAATCAAATTGCAGAATTGGTATGGCTAGATTTGTGATGCAGATTTGCAATAACAAAAAAGTTATTATTGTTAGTGTTAGCATTATATTGGAGTTAGATACAAGCAGATTATTTAGCAAATTTTCTTAAGAAAAACTTTTTGTTAGAGCATTAAAGAAGGTTTTTATTCAGGTTTTTGAAAAATAAGCGATTTGTGACAAACGTTGATTTGTAGCTTGAAAAATCTGTGCTACATATATTATATCTATCATTAATTCGATTGGAGTCTTATGTGACTTTAAGTGCATCTGTTATTTGCACAATAGATTACGTAATATTTATTGATGATTTAAAAATGCTTAATCAATCAAAATTAATTTTAAAAATATGTAGAATTAAAAATATTCATCGAATTTTGTCAAGTAGTTATCGAGAAACTTCGTTTAATTTTAGAAAGAACTGATCTGTCTATCAGTAAATTAAATTTTTTAAAACTTTGAGAGAAGTTTTCTCGATAACTTGCTAACCAAATTGAATGAAAATTTTTTTATTCTATTTTTCCACATTTCATATAATTAAAATAAAAAATTTGTATCGAATTCGATCAAAAGAACTTTGCTCAAAGTTCTAAAAATTTAACAGTACTTAAATTACTAGGCTCCACAAAGATAATTTTTCATTTTGCATTAAATGACATTCGAAATTTTGATCAGGTCAGATTTTATTTATTTATTTATTTTTTTTGTTAATCTATATAGCAAAGTCTTTAATTTTTAAGGCTTCTTAAAAACGCATTTTACTTGTTCAAGTTCATTAACTTTTAAATCAGTTAATTGACGATTCTCCAGTCAACTGAAGAATGATCATAGTGAAACGTGATGCAGTTCTATATATAAATTACTATAG